CAGAAATGAGCTTGCACAGGCATTAGACACCCCCTCAGAGCTCCGGTCTGGGGCATCTGGGTGCCCTCCTCACCTGGGTGCGGGAAAGCCCACGGAAAGCTGAACACCACTTGGCTCTGGCAGTTCCTGTCACTTTTGGGTCTCTATTCTGTTATTCCAGGACCCATGTGCTTTTACTAAAGCCATAGAAATGGTCCCCCTGCATCCAGACTGGAAAGGAAGAAGCAAGTGTGTCGGTAACCCCGCCATATAGGCACCGAGGAATGAGAGCTAAGCGGAACCCTGGCAGAGTTAGGGCCTGAGGAAGATCTCACTTTATAGTGTTACTACTCAGCTATTTCCTTTATGTAATCCTTTACATAATCATATATTAGTTTATAGAAATAGGGTTGATGAATCCCTTTATATAATCCTCTATATATAATCATATAATAGTTGATAGTATGAGTGCCTAAAGAATATTTCCCTACATATATACCTATAATTATATCTTAGTTCATAATCGGAGGAATGCCTGGAGTGGACACAGTACAGAGCACGAATTAAGGAATAAGCAGCTTATCATCGGAGGAATGCCTAGAGCAGACACAGCGCAGAGCATGATTTAAGGGAAAAACAGTTATGCCAGGACAAGAATCCATGGCCCAGGCAGCAGCGTTCAGTAACATAGATACCCGCTGTATGGCAGGCTTGGGGCGAGAGCCACTCCTCCTGATAAAGGAGTTCTAGGACCTTGCTCCAGTTCTTATGGAAGGCCGCCCTCAGACCGGCAATCCACCTTGTGACTGTGAACTTTATCAGCTTTTGCTGCTGTGCTGCTCGAAAAGCATCTTCCCATAGAACCCATTGGAAGCTGCCAGCAGGTGGCGGTAACCCTGACGGCTCTGTCACTGCTGTGTGACTTAAAGCATCCTCCTATAAATCTTCTTAGAAGTAGTTTCCCATAGATAGAAGTATTGCACACTGCACCCTCTTCACTGCACAGGGCCCACCTTCAAGCCTCGGTGACTTAATGGGGGTGGACCCCTTACTGCACACAGCCTTTGCCTTTGTGGGAACGGGCCCCTTGCTGTGCACTGTCCATCTCCTGGCCTAGGTGGCCTAATGGGGGTGGACCCCATGTTTTATTGCTCACGACCCTATCACTGTCCTTAAAGATGACTTCACTCACTGCCCTGCCCCCTAACCTATGCACAACAAATACTCATGCTTCTGGACATTCGGGGCCTCGCCTGACTCTGCTTATAGGTGGCGTGGCCCCCCGAGCCTCGCTGCGTTTGTACTTCTGTGTCCTGTCTCTATTTCCCGGATCCTGCGCCTCAGCACAGCATAAGGGTCACCCCACGACCCTGTGGGGCCCTCAGCCCTACAAAAGTGTTTCTAGTTGTGAAGACATGCTCTAGTAGATACAAAATCCTAAGAATTCATTTTTTAAAAACTGCTAGAACAAAGAAACGAGTTCTGCAGGGTTGCAGGATATTAGATCAATATACAAAGTCAACTGTGTTTGCAAACACTTGCAATGGACAACCCAAAAGTTAAATTCAATTCCACTTGAAATAGCCTCAAAAAGAATAAAGTACTTAAGAATAAGTTTAATTTGGTAAGTACTTAATTTAATAACTAGTGAAGAATAAGTAAATTTGATACAAAACATAGTTTTTAGAGTTTTTAGAGATACAACTTATAACTCTAAAAACTATAAAACATTGTTTTTAAAAATTATAGAAGGTCTAAAGAACTGGGCAAGCATTCTATGTTCATGGACTGGCACACAACATTCAGATGGTAACCCTCCCTACACTGAGCTACAGATTCAAAACATCCCTACCAGAACCCCAGCTGGCTTCCTTGTAGAAATTGACCAGTTGATTCTAAAATTCATGTGGAATTGCTAAAATAATCCTGAAAAAGAAGAAGAAAGCTGGAGGACTCACAGCCCTTATTTCAAACTTACTATGAAGTCACAGAAATCAAGACTCTGTGGTACTGGCGCAGTGCAGACATATAGATTAATGGAATATAATTAAAAGTCTACAAATAAACCCATGTAGCTATGGCCAATTAATTTTCAACAAGGGTGTCAAGACCATTCAATGAGAAAAGAACAGTCTTTTCAGCAAATGATGCTTGGACAACTGGATGTCCTCATGCAAATGCATGAACGTGGTCCCCTACCTCACATCACAAAGAAAGTTAATTCAAGGTGGATCACAGAACCAAATGGAAGAGTTAAAACTATAAAACTCTTCTAGAAAAATCTAGGGGTAAATATTCATGTACTTACCTTTGCAAAGGATTCTTAGATAAGACACCAAAAGCATGAACAACAAAAGAAAAGATAGATTAATTGGAGTTCATCAAAATTAAAACCTTTTGTGTGCCAAAGGACACCATCAGGAAAGTGAAGAGGCAACTGCAGAATGAGGAAGTACTTGCCAATCACGTATCTGAGAAGGCCCTTGTGTCTAGAATGCGTGAACAACGGACAACTCCACAGGAAGAGGCAACAGTGTAAAAACAAGCAAAGGAAATGGAACGGTCATTTCTCCAAGAACGTATGCAAATGGCCGACAGGCACCTGAGGAGATACTCAACGTCACTGATCATCAGAGAAATGCAATCAAAACCGCGATGGACACCACTTAACGCTCGTCGGATGACTAGAGTCAAAACCAGACAGCAGCAAGTGCTGGTGAGGGAGTGGAGGAACTGGAGCCCTCATGCCTGTCTGTGGGAATGTTAACATGGGGCAGCCACTTTGGAAAACAGTCCGGCAGTTCCTCAAACGATTAAACAGGATTGCTGTATGACCCAGCAATTCATTCCTAGGGACATGCCCGAAAGAAATGAAAACACGTGTTCACACTGAAACCTATGCACAGACGTTCACAGCAGCCAAAGGGTGGAAACAGCCATAATGTCCATTACCCGGTGAATGGATAAGCGTGGCCCGTCCATACAGTGGATTATTATTCAGCCACAGAAAGCAAGGAAATTCGGAAAAAGCTTAAAGATATGATGCACAGTGCCAGACACCAGACACGGAGACTGCATATTACTCCTTACTCCTGCCACACACAAGCACAGATACCAGACACGGAGACCACATATTACTCCTTACTCCCACCCACGCAAGCCCAGACACCAGACACGGAGACTGTATATTACTCCTTACTCCCACCCACGCAAGCCCAGAGTCGGAATCCACAGAAACAGGAAGTTGATTCCTGGTCACTTAGGCTGGGTAGGTAGGGGGCTAACAGATGGGGTGCGTTTCTTGCTGAGGTGATTCATGTTTTTAACACTGGCTGTGCTGACGGTTCACATATATTGAATACACTAAAAAACATTGAATTGTGCACTTTAAATGGGTGTTTTATGGAATGTAGACTATATCTCATGGAAGCCTTTTTTTTACAGGAAAGAGAAATAGACCCACACTGCCCACCTATCCTGTGCATCGCCAAAGCCCAGCTTCACACCCAGCGTCTGCCTTCGAGAGGCCTTCCAACTGCAGGCCCACCAAGCCCCACAGGCCCCGAACAGATGCTGTCTAGAGACCATCACAGGGGAAACTGGCTCCCAAAGGTGGCCTCTATTTCCAACGCCATTCTGCAGACATGAGGTCTTTGCCCACCTTGCTCAGCTGTGATGCCCACCCTCAGGAGCCAACAATGGGAGGTGGCTGGGAGAGGAGATGCCAGGCCTATCTCTCCATCTCTTTGCAACTGCTGGCCGAGAATGGCATCTCACCCTGCAGTGCACACTGTATCCAATACGCAGAACAGAACATTTTGCTTCACCAGAATCCAGTCTGTGCAGCCACCCCTTCAACCCTCCAGGGACATCCCACCCTCATACGATCAGCCTCCATCTGCCCCAGGTTCAGCTTCCGAGGCAGCAGAAGCAGTTTGCTGGGTCCCGTGCAGGGTGATGTGGTTTGCCTGTGTCCTTACCCAAAGTCTCATGTGTTGTGGGAGAGACCTGGTGGGAGGCACCTGAATCATGGGGGCAGGTTTTTCCCATGCTGTTCTTATGATAGTGAGTCTCATGAGATCTGATGGGTGTTATAAGGGGGAGTTCCCCTGCACAAGCTCTCACCCTCTTGCCTGCTGCCCTCCATGTAAGATGTGACTTGCCCCTCCTTGCCTTCTGCCATAATTGTGAGGCTTCCCCAGCCACGTGGCACTGTAAGTCCAATTAAACCTCTTTCTTTTGTAAATTACCCACTCCTGGATATGTCTTTATCAGCAGCATGGAAACAGACGAATACAAGGAATTCCGAGAGTACACGCTGCGACCCAGCCATCTCACCCTCCCTCTTGGCCTGGAAACCAGGAACAGGCAGGGATCGGGGGCCCAACACAGGTCATTTGCACACTGGATGATACAATAAGATGACGGCCAGTGCAGAGATAGCTGAGAACTCCAGCCTGGTCTGAGGCAGAAATGGCCCATCCACCTCCTCTCTGAACCCCAATCTTAAAATTCAATCCTGGCTGTCACCGTGAACTCAAAAAATTAACTTGTTTTTGTTTTTAAAGTTATAGTCCCCCAAACAGTGCGTCAACAAAACAGTCTTCCAGTTGGACCTGACGCTGTTGCCAAGCAGGTGGCCACGAGCATCACGGACGGGCAGTGTCTGATATCACTCTGCATTTCTGCCGTGTGAACCGGGGCTCCTTCCTGCTTTTACGTCTTTGCCTCTTAGTCTGGGCAAGATAAACATTGACCGAACTCAGATGAGAGAGAAGACTCTAGGGCTGCTGGCTGGTTCAAAAGGAAGAGAGGCTCATGCACACATTCTTGTCTGAACTTTACACACTAGGACTTTTAATTTGCCACCTCAGAGCTGGTCCTGGAGATGCCAGTGTTTGGGGAGCAGGCGTGGGGGGCTCTGACTCTTCTCAGAGCTCCAGCACAGCTGTACCATCCCCAGAGAAGGGCCTCATGCTCCCCACTACCCCACAGTTGGAAGTTTCGATGAACTTTCTTACCATTTGTCTTCTATTCTCCACCAAGTGGATGCCAATAATTCCTAAGAAGGATCCAAAGCCAAGCTGAAACCGAGGAAGAACGGGAGAGAAACGCTCATCAGCACACCTGGCAGCTTAACATCAGAACACCGACATTTAACAGCAAACACTCCCACCCTCAAAAAGCATTTTATCCAGGGGCAAAGGGCAGACGTCCACACCTCAAGAGCCTCAACCCCTGAGCAGAGGTGTGTCAGCCGGGTTTGGGTGGGAGTCTCTGCTCAGAGGTATTTAATGATGAGTGTGTTTGGCTTGTGACTGTGGGGAATGAGAGGATCCTGCTCCTCCTCCAGACAAAGCATCTTCTCGGGGACCCAGGGCCACCAAGCACCACCATCTGCCCCGTCTTCTTCAGATCTGAGATGCCCCTCAGCACGGCTGCTGGGTAAAGTATCAGGAAACTACAGCCGTGGGCCCCAGGGCCACCTGTGACACCAGCTGAGACTGCCTGACCTTGCCTGCTGCTTCGGAAGGGCGAGCAGGGCAGGCTGTCAGCAGGGAGGCACTAGGCGTGGGGAAAGGGCGCCTGGGCCAGGCATGGAGGGGGCCTTGGGCTGCAGCACAGGTCACCAGGGTTCCCGCAGAGCCCCCTTGCTCCACAGGAAGCCTCAGCCCTGGGTAGAAAATGATGCCGGGATGTCAGGAACTACAGAGGCCAGCAGTCGGGCACTCACACCCTCCACCCCAGCCCATCCTGGCAAGTGACGCCCACCTAGTGGGGGAATTTCCGTGGAGGTCTAAGACGGCTGCTGCTCACACGCTGCTGCACCAGCCGGTCATATTTCCCAGTGGGCGTCTGGAGGAAAGTGGCCAGCACAGTACAGCCTTGGAGTTCCTGGGGCCGTGGCGTGGAGTTTAACGCAATGGACACGGGACTTCTTTGTGTAAATAGTTTCGCCTTTATCTGTAATTGTGTCTGTGCGTCTGTGGTGATAGACATGTACACGTGTGGTCTTCACCAATGCTTTGAGAATTCTCCAGGGATCACAGGAATATTTCTTCAAGGGCTGAGCTTCAAATACCAGAGCTCAACTCCACAGTTCAAAAATAGCAAAATTTCACTTCAAGGTACATGTATTAAAATATATGTTTCAGACCGGGCGCGGTGGCTCACGCCTGTAATCCCAGCACTTTGGGAGGCCGAGGCAGGTGGATCACGAGGTCAAGAGATCGAGACCATCCTGGTCAACATGGTGAAACCCCGTCTCTACTAAAAATACAAAAAATTAGCTGGGCATGGTGGCGCGTGCCTGTAATCCCAGCTACTTGGGAGGCTGAGGCAGGACAATTGCTTGAACCCAGGAGGCGGAGGTTGTGGTGAGTCGAGATTGCGCCATTGCACTCCAGCCTGGGTAACAAAAGCGAAACTCCATCTCAAAAAAAAAAAAAAAAAAAGTGAAATAAACAACATTTCCGAATGCTGAGTGCCAAAAACCTTCCGTCTTTGCAGATTGCTGTGGATAATATGATCCATCGTGGTAGTACGTTAGGTGGGAGTCACGAGATTGAAGAAGCCACATTTTAAAATCTTTCTTTAGCAGTATATGACATAGCAGCTGGGCTCCGGGGCACAGGAAGGGCGTCACAGCTGATCCAAGCCACTCCCACAGAGGTTCACTGTCCCAGGGCGTCACAGCTGATCCAAGCCACTCCCACAGAGGTTCACTGTCCCAGAGCGTCACAGCTGATCCAAGCCACTCCCACAGAGGTTCACTGTCCCAGGGCGTCACAGCTGATCCAAGCCACTCCCACAGAGGTTCACTGTCCCAGAATGCAGGCACTTAGGGCAATTTTTATTGCTAATGACAGTGGATGTGATTTCATAGTTCAGAAAATCTCGGTAATTTGGATCTGGGTGACCAGCTCTCGCCAGGCCCAATTAGGCTACCATCAATCTACCTCGCCGCCTTACTGTTCAAAATCTGGTCTGGGGGTGGTGACGCCAGCACCACCACCTTCTGGTCGTTCCCACCTGAGCATGTCACTAATACAATCTTGGATCCATGGCTTCTTGGCAGGAATCGTCTCTTCCGTGGGCTAGGGTGGTGGGCCTGGACCCTCAGGGTAAAATCCTTCTGGGGTGCTGGGGGACGCTCTGTTTGGCCTTTTTGGACATACTGGCCCCTCCTCCACCTCGGACATTTCCTGTTGCCCGTCTCTGGCCCCTCCTGCCCCCTGGTCACCCTGTGACCGCATCGGGTCAACCCAGACAATGGAAGGCACCTGGCCCTGTTTTAAGGTCAGCTTGGACCTCAACGTGAATCCTCTCTGCCTTGGACCTGCCTCCGTCCCAGGTCCTGGGGATTGGGATGTGCACGTCTGTGGGGGCCGTAACGCTGCTGACCACAAGCACCGATCGAAGTCCCCCCACCTTCAACCCCAGCCCTGTGAGCTGCGTGGACTCCACCCTGCCCTGAGAGAACCGCACACCACCCGCCCCCAGTCCAGGCCACCGGCTCAGCACACTCACAATGATCCCAGGGTAGTAGCCCCCCACGGTCACGTTCTCCGTCCTGGTTGTGGCGGCCAGCCCGACGGTCACTATAAGGACGGACACCAGCAGCAGAGACCCCACAAACCAGAGTGACGTCTTCTTCCTCCTTGCAAGCCCTTCTGTAGGGAGGAAGGTGAAAACGGGTCAGTGAGGGCTCAGGCTGGGGAGGGTGTCACAGGCTCCCTCTTCTCCCAGCCCAGCAGGCTCTGGGCCGTGCTCCGTGGCCCAGGGGTCCTGGGAGGCACTATCCTCATCTGCCTCCAGACCCACCTCAGGGGTCCACCCCCAGCCTCCATCAGATAACAGAATGAAACCTCTGGACCATAAGCCACTGTACTGGATGGCCTGGTATTTGCAACCAAACCTAATTCTAAGTGTCACAGAACCCAAGAAAGCCAACCAGAAAGGGCCACTTCCCATAGCCTGCCTCTTCCTCAGTGTGACTTTCTCCCCTCAGGGTCACGGTGTCCCCGGGAGGACAGGGAACATCTTCCTATCTTTTCTTTACTGTTTTATTATCACTGTTTGCTCACGGACACACCCTCTCTACTTGCCTATCACGGCCACACACAGTGGCGGGGTGCTGCCGACAAGGGAGGGGCAGGGAGAGGGGAACATGTAGCAGCAGCCGTGGGCAGGAGAGAGGGACATGCAGCAGCAGCAGCAGCCGTGGGCGGGAGAGAGGGACACGCAGCAGCAGCCGTGGGCGGGAGAGAGGGACACACAGCAGCAGCAGCCATGGGCGGGAGAGAGGGACACGCAGCAGCAGCCCTGGGCGGGAGAGAGGGACACGCAGCAGCAGCCGTGGGTGGGAGAGAGGGACACACAGCAGCAGCAGCAGCAACGGCTGTGGGCAGGAGAGAGGGACACAGCAGCTGTCCAGCTGCGCCTTCTGTCTTGCTTTGTTTTTTGAAAACTAAATGATCTTGACTCTGTGTGACTCCAAATAAAATAGGAAATTTAAAAACCCATGGCAAGGTCTTCTACTCCAAGATTTTGAAAATAAACATCTGTGTGTGTACACGTGTGTATGCATGTGTGTGTGAGTGCATGTGTGCAGGGGAAGCAGACTCCACACTGGAGAGCTGCCAGCAGTGAGGACGGCCACGCAGACATCATCCACACTCTAGAAGGTCCACGTCTGAAGATTTACATTTCTGCAATCCCATCAGCAGAGCTCAATGGCAAGGAAAGGTTATCGTGCCCAAAGAAGGGATTGTTGAGTCCTCAGAAATGAATTTCACAAGACTATAAATCAATGTGCAGATGCAGAATCGCTCTGCTGATCTGAGAGAGCCATTTTTGTCTGGCTGACCCAGCAAGGGCACAGCCTGGAAGGAAGGCTGGCACAGCCACCCCGCCTGCCTCTTGACCCTCACAAGCATACACTTATCCCAAGAATTTCATCCTAAAATGCTTTTTACCTTTCACCTTGGAGGGGACCAGGTCACTCCATTTGCTAACCATTGCTCCTACCAGCCAGCCAGGCTGTGCCCCCCTCAGACCCGCTGCACCAAGGCAGCCAGCAGCACCATCCTTGGTTTATGCTCCAGGCTGAGGGCCAGTGGTTTCAGCCTCTCCCTGGTTGCCCCATCTCCTGCCTCCTTAGAGGCAGGCTTGTTCTGCATCCACAGGGCCTTTGCACCTGCTGTCTCCCAGCCAGGTGCTCAGAGAGGCTCCCAGCACCCTCTGAAGGCCTTTTTAAAATGTTTTTGCACAGACACCCTGAGCACAGTAGCCCCCACTCACCCCTGTGCTCTCCACAGTCACCCCCTCACTTCTGCCCCTGCAGAGCCTCCCCGGGTGTGAGGAGGCTGAGGGGATGGCAGACAGACAGAGTACACATTGCAGACATTGGAAAAGGCCAAGTTCAGTGTAGAAAACTTAGGCAGGGCTGGGGTCAGGGCGCTCGGGATGTGTCACCCACAGGCAGCCGGCAGAGGACAGAGCCTTCCCTGGGAGGCCTGACGATGGCACAGCGCACCCTTCAGCCCAGTGGAGTGAGGCCCTCCTTCTGAAAGCCACCCTACTGAGACACAGAAGGCTGCGGCCTGGGAGGGCCAGGAGCAGTCCCCACACCCAGCCTCAGGAACCCGCCCTGAGTGTGGGCTCCCCTGCAGCCAGGGCCACGCCTGTGCCCTCCTGGTACCCAAGGCTACTTCTGCAGGGGTCACGCTGAATAAGCTTGTAGGGGTAAGCAAGCGGGTGGACGTGGGGGAGGGCACAGCACGAGGAGCCCTGAGGCCAGACTGGCTGCCCAGCACCTGGCGCCTGCACATCATCCGGTGTCCGTTAGAATGACACTCCCCCTGCCCCGCCCCATAACCCGCGGCCACACCCTTGCCTGTCCCATCCCAGGCCACGCCCATGCCCCGGTTCATCCCATCCAAGGCCACGCCCACACCCCTGCCGGTCCCATTCCAGGCCACGCCTAAGCCCCTGCCCGTCTCATTCCAGGCCACGCCTACGGCCCTGCCCGTCCCGTTCCCAGGCCATGCCCACGTCCCTGCCGGTCCCATCCCAGGCCACGCCCACGCCCCTGCCGGTCCCATTCCAGGCCACGCCTGCCTTCCTGTGGGCTTGCAGCGCGTCCCTTCTTGTCCTTAGATGGATGAGCGAGGCCCGGGCACACTACGCCAGCCCTGAGCGAGGGACGGGCGCTGCACCTGCCAGTCGGGAACGCAGGAGGCCTCCTCGAACTCCGCCCCTGGGTTCCTGGCTTTTCAGCCTCAGACTTCCTTCCACCTCCCCGCGTCCCTCATGGTATTTGTGAACTAAAAACCAACCCTCGTTGGGCTGGAAAAAGTTAGGAAGGTGATAATGACGTTTTTACAAGGAAAAGGAAGACTGTGGGTCTATGTTGAAAAGCGTGATTTTTATGCTGCTCACAAGAGCAATAGTTATTTTGCATGGAACACTCATAAATACTGAAAAATACAAAAGGGAAAATAAAATTCACAGTAACCCAAATTAACAAGTAGGTATAAAATCTAATGGTCTTTTTTCATTGCACTATGGACTTTTTAAAGCATTTTTTCTCAAATTAGGACCCCAATATTATAGTAGTTTTTTCACTGAAATCTTGCAATTTGTCAAAAACCTGAAAGGTTATACGTTCACGGTCGTTTCCCCGAGAGACAGGAACGATGGCGGCAGATCCAGCGTCTCTGTAGGGAAGTTGAGGCGGGAAATGACAAAGCCACTCTGGGAGCGAGTGGGCGAGAGGAAGGAAGGCACCTCCCGGAAACTCTGTTCTGGTTGATTCATATTAGAAAGGTAGGTAAACTTTTTAGAAATGGACACGAAATTTAAAAATATATGCAATTCCACATTTTGGAAGTTAAGGAAGCTGTTACTGTGGAATGACACAAAACCATCCTATTAATGACAGTCCTACCATCCTGGGATTGGGCAGCGCGTGGATTTTCAGAGCAGGGTGACTTCCTGCTCTCATTTGGTCATGACCAGAGGCTCCAGGTCACCTCACCAGCCTCCACGCAGCACCTGCCAGTGCAGCCAAATGCCAGGAGCCTTTGACTCACACGATTCCCCTTCGGTGCACCTTTCCTGTTTTCCCTCAGGTCTCATGCCAATCTTCTGACTGTTTCCATGTATTTTAAGAACAATAGGATTTCTAAAACTAAATTTTATGGGACTAAGTATTTGAGAAATTATCAGACAAATGCTCTCCTCATTTGTCTGATGAGGAGACAAATGAGGATTTTGTTGTGTGCTTTTTCTTAATTAAATGTACTGCACACATATAACATTATGCTCAAAATAATTGACCAGATGACTCAGCATCTGCTTTGAGCCACAGGTAGAACCTTCGGTGGGGCTCCTGTCCCAGCCTCCTGCGGATGGATGTCTGTCTGTCAGGACCTCCTTGACTCCGTTCTGGTTCTAAAAGCCAGAAGCTCTGTTTGCTTCATTGGCATAAAGAGTGGGGGCCCAGCAAGACCAACTGGGTTATCTGCCCTTGTCTAGTCAGTCGGTAACATGTTGATTTGCTATTATTGAGCGAAGCATTAGACATATCTCCTCTGAAATCACACAAATCCTTCTACAAACCATTTTCAACCTAACTGTGCTGTTTACCCCTCTTTCCTGAGTCTGACTTCCCCCCATATCTGCTGCATAATAAAAAGCAGAAGGTATGAGCCACCCTTTTATCAGCATTTTTATCACAGATTCCTAGATTCATACAGGTCTAGAAAGACAGCAGGACTTACGTGGGACTCTGGAAGCAGTGGTTCTTAAAAATCTCATTCAACTAAGCAATGGCAATATTCTGACTCCAGGTATAATAGAGATAGCAAAAAGAAGAGTCCCAACCTTATATACATTTTATAAATACATGACAGCATAAAAATAAGACAAACATAAACTCAAGAAAAGAAGGTGGGTTTTTTTTATTATTATTGAAATATAGTCTCGCTCTGTTGCCCAGGCTGGAGTGCAAGGGTGCAATCTCAGCTCACTGCAACATCTGCCTCCTGGGTTCAAGCAATTCTCCCTGCCTCATCCTCCCAAGTAGCTGGGATTATGGGTGCATCCCACCACACCCAGCTAATTTTTTGTATTTTTAGTAGAGATGGGGTTTCGCCATGGTGGCCAGGCTGGTCTCAAACTCCTGACTTCAAATGATCCACCTGCCTCGGCCTTCCAAACTGGTAGGATTACAGGCATGAGCCACCGCACCTGGCTGATATCTTTATAATTACCATAAGATATAAGCATTTTAATGTCTTTCAAAAGAAAGGGGGTTCCACTTAGGAGAAAGATAACTAAAATCACCTGAATAATTTCTTGATTTTCCTGTCCCGTTAGCAGAAATACTGTTATTATGTGCACTGTTAAAATGAAAGTGTTCCTAGGTGCCCTATTAATTAAAAAATCTACTATAGGTTTATTGCAGAGGCAGCTTACAGGACTGGACCCAAACCATTCTGGGTCTATTCAGACCCACTGTGTTTCCTGAGCAGAGCCTGGGAGCAGAGAACCCCATGAGAGGCAAGAGCTCTCTGACTATCTTGTTTCTGGTTCCCAGTGCCCAAATGAGGACACAGACACATCCCTTAGTGTGGAATGAATGAAGGCACTTCAGTCTCCTGAGCTGTAGGACGGAAATCCTGAGAACCACCTGCTTAGCCACTTCTCAAGACTGTGGTAAGTATCCAGTGAGGCCGGTACATGGGCTCTCTTACAGGACTTTGTCAACGTAATGAATATGCTAATCATCAGGGCACAGCCGTTGTTCTTCACCAGCATTTCTCCCACCGGGAGTTGCCAGAAGTTCTGAGACGTGAAGACAAGTGGGCCAACAGCTACCTCTCCGCTATCGTGCTTGTGGATTTTCTAATTCTAGTCTTCCGCAGGTGCAGCCCATCTAGAGTGTCTCAGAATATCTCCTTGTTACTCCCCAACTAGCCCCCAGTTCTCCCACCTGACCAGTTGTCCCCTTCCTGGCTCCCACCCCCAGCCTTAGCTGGAGGAGCTGAACCACAGGAGCCTGTGTCCATGCCTGGTCCTACCTGGAAGAGATGCGAGGCTGGAGGTGAGGTTTTCCCTACCCCTCGGACCCACTTCCTCTACTCTGAAGAGCCAGGAAGGGGAATGTCACAAAGCATGGGAGGTGACACCGCTGGTAAGGTTCCAAGAGACTGCCTTCCTGCCAGCAGGGCCTGGCACACCCAGGAAGAAGGGTGAGTTCCGTTTAATCGTGGGGACACCAGTCATGGTGTCAAAAATAATCCCAGGTAAAACTGTCATCACTCAGCCATCAATTTCTCTTTCATTCTTATCTTACACATGGCCAGAATGGTGAACAAAGAAGTACAAAGAAGAAAGACCATAATCTCCCCACCCCCAGACACACCGAAGCAGAAAGACCATAATCCCACCCCAGACACACCGAAGCAGAAAGACCATAATCCCACCCCAGACACACCGAAGCAGAAAGACCATAATCCCACCCCCAGACACACAAGTGCTTCATATGTTTTAGTAAAAGACCAACTCCAGGCAAAAAGACCCATAATCCCACCCCCAGACACACCAACGTTTCATATACTAAAAAGACTAGCTCCAAGTATTATGTTTTAAGGTTTAAAGTTCTTTGTCAGAAGAAAATCTAAGTCAAGTGCTATTTTTAAACCATCAAGGCATTCTAACATAATGATGATAAAACTAGTTAATAAGTAATAAATAGTTATCATTACCATACATTAATAGACTGATCCATTTCCTGGAGAATGAAGACACATAAATACATTTGATCATAGAGCATTTTGCTTTAGAGAGTGGAAGGTATATAGCGGTTTCTTTTAGAAACAAGCCAGATCCCTCAATTGTTTTAAATAACCGTAACTCATTTGGCTGTTTGAGACTTTCCAAAGACGCCCCAATCAGAGGGCCTTGAGGTGACTCCCCAGCAGTTTATGCTGAATTATTTCTGCGGGAGCGGCCGAGCCCCCTGCACCTCACCCAAACCCTCCGTTCAGCCATCAGAGCCTGACTTCCTGGGGTACTCCGTTCCTCTAAATCTGCCCAGCGCTCTCCCCACAGGAGAACACCCTGCGTTATTCCCATCCGCCGCTTCCCAGAAGAGCCCCCGCGGCCCGCAAACTTGTGCATCCGCAGCCGCTTTCCAGTTGTCCTGCCCGTGCGCTCCAAGGCTGCAGGGGTCAGTCTGGGAAAGGGAACAACTGGGGGTCCGTGAACACACGGGAGAAGTGCGAGGGGGGCGAGCTGGAGCCAGAAGACACTAAGATTCTGTCCGCACCTCCGAGTCAGACCGAAAAACGCTACCTGGCTCTTCGAAATGAAGTTTTCCCAGAAAACGGGTAGGTCGGAATAAATGGAAAAGGAGCACACGCTGGGTGTTCCCGTCAAGTGTGGTGGCCTGTTCTTCATAAGAAAACCTAACGGGGAAGAGCGGCAAAGAGGAGCAGACGCAGAGTCAGAGAAAGGCAGATAGAAAGAAGGACAGAGAAGGCGGAGACGTGGGTGGGTGGGGTGGGAGAGAAGGAGGGAGGGGAGGGAAGAAAGAAAAGAGAAAGAAAAGCAAGCCTGCGGAGGGAGAGACAGGGGAGTAAGAGAAGACGAATGAATGAACGCCGATTGGCAGAGCTCAAAGGAGGCGCAGGGACCTGCGGACGCCCAGCCCTGGGGTCCCCACGCTCCCGCCCCGCGCTCACCTGCGGCGTCCAGCGGGGCCAGGGGTGTGGGCACCGGCGGCTGCATCCCGAGGCCCTGGGTCCACCCGGCTGTCTCTCGGCGACGGCGACAGTCCCAGCGCCCAGCGCCGCCCCGTGCCCGCCCCGTGCCCGCCCCCGCGCTTCCACACGCTCCCTTCCCCCCTTCGCTCCCTTTAGTCCGCGTCTCTTCTCCCCTCTCTCCGGTCCCCACTTCTTCCTCCCACCCCCTCCTGCCGCCTCCTGCTTCCTGGAAATCAGGACGTCTGGGAAAGGAACGCGTGTGCCGCGGCCAGGAGTGGAAAACGGACTCCAGAGGGAACAAGCCTGCGGAGGACCCCTTAGGCCTGGCACGGCGACCCCCGCAGGGGCCGCGCTCGGCTCTTGGAAGTGCCACGGGTGGGTCATCATGGGTTCGCCTCTCCATCGGCAGGTGACGGGCCTCCTGGAGCCGCAGGGCCGGCCAGTCCTGGATCTCTGTTTTCAGAGGGCAGCACATGTTAAACCTCAGTCTGCGATGAATGAGCAAATGAGGAGCAAGCGCATCCTGCAGCCCCTGGGCAGCCCCAGGTCCGGCTCACTGGCCCCTCCAAGGCCTGCGCCGTGTCCACAGCACTGAAGTTGTTCTGAGTAAAATCTGCTGCTGGAAAAGGGCAAAGAAACAGGGGGCCAGAGAGCGTGCCTCACGCAGCAGCGGGGAAAAGCAAGATCCTTCTAAATTTATTTTTAACGTCTTTGAGTCAACGACATCAGCGGTCTCTTCACAAAAGAAGATGCTTGAACGACCACTGAACTCAGCCCCTAGAATTAGGGGAACACCGTGGGAACAAGAGGACGCTGTTTCACCCTCATCCTCTCAGAACGCCTTTAAACGACTTAGAGAGTGTTAATGAAAACATGGGGATCTGCACTCACTGCTGGCTGGGGGATCACGCCTGGTGCCACCACTTTGAAAGCAACATGTAGGAAAATTGAAGGTGTAGATGGCAAACCAGCAATCTACGCTTTATAGACTTGATCATAAACACAGATGCGCTCCTCAGAGCCAGGAGCCGTGCTTCTCTGCCATGCTGCCGTTAAAGTCATCCAGGAATGTCTTTAAAGGAAGAGAATTACTGCCATCCTGAACCCAGACCAGATCAACTGAATCAGAAATTCTGGGAAGAACCTAACTGCTAAGAATTCCCTAGTCCTTCTAACAGGCCATCCACTGTGAGAGAGAAACTACCACGAGAAGAATGCACGCACAAGAAGACACACAGAATATCCTCCACAACGCTGTGTGTCCAGAACGGCACAGCCTGAACATCCAGCACGGGAGACACGATAAAGAAACAGGCATGTACAGTGAAATAGCACATGGTAGTTAAAATAAATGAGTGCCACACAGATCAATGTGAATAAATGCCAAAAACACAGCGTGGAGCAAAAATACAAGTGCACAGTACAACAGTGCATATGATAACATTTACATAAAGTTTCAAACCAGGAAAATCGACACTGTTCATTCACTGATCCTCTCAACACTTACTAAACATCCACAATATACCAGACACTGTACCAGGTACTTGGGACTATCAATGAGCAAGGTAGGCAAGGATCCTGGTGGGGAAGAGAGACCATGAATAATAATATAATAAAGAAAAATGCACAGCACGTTAGAGGGCAGAACATGCTATGGAATACATACGTGCACACACACATACACATATACATATACATATACATACACATGCATGCATGCATACACAGCCAGGCAGTATGTGCTATGGGATAAATACATACATGCATATGTACACACATATACATATACATGCATGCACACATATACAACCAGGCAGTACATGCGATGGGGTACATACATACATATGTACACACACATATACATACACATGCATACATGCATGCACACATAAATATACAGCCAGGCAATACATGCTGTGGAATATATGCATGCCTGCACACACATGCATACATACACACACACACCCAGGTAATGCAGGCCACGGGAAAAGGAAAGAGGGTAAAGAAACAAAATATAGTGTGGGAGAGTGAGTGAGCTCTGGTTTTGAAGTAGTGAAAAGAGATCTCACTGAGAGGTGATGTGGAGACCCAAGCTTGAGGGCGTGGAGGCAGTTGCTCTCCCAGACATCTGGGGCAGAGGGTCCAGGGGAAAGGAACCCCACACAAACGCGCTGGGGTGGAGCTGTCCGGGCCCGGGGTAGCAGCAAGGAGACCAGGATGCCGGAGGCCTGCAGGGACTAGGTGGAGGACATTAGGGGTGAGCTGCAGGACCTCTGGCCTTTGCTCTAAGTGATGTGGGATTATCGAAGGGTCCTATGTCGAAGGGTCACTGGAGAGTAGTTGTAGAGCAGCTGGTGGAAGCCAAGAATCTGGTTTTGGGATATTAGATGCAGTAGGTGGTGGTGGCTTGGAGCAGGTTGGGAAAGTGCAGGTGGTAAGACAAAGTCAGACGAAATTCATACTGTGTCAACACATAAATACTGCATGTAAGTCATGTGTCAGTATCAGTCATGTGTGCAGATACACGGACACCATGTGTCATGTGTGCAGAGGCATGGATGTCATGAGTCATGTGTGAAGATGCATGGATATGATGAGTAATGTGTGGGCAGGTGCATGGACGTCATGAGTCCTGTGTGGACAGATGCACGGATGCCATCAGTCATGTGTGGGCAGATGCACGGATGCCATGAGTCATGTGTGGGCAGGTGCATGGACGTCATGAGTCGTGTGGGCAGATGAGTCATGTGTGGGCAGATGCATGAATGTCATGAGTCATGTGTGTGCAGATACATGGACACCATGAGTCGTGAGTTCAGAGGCATGGATGTCATGAGTCATGTGTGAAGATGCATGGACATGAGTCATGTGTGGGCAGATGCACGGATGTCATGAGCCATGTGTGGGCAGACTCACGGATGTCATGAGTCCTGTGTGGGCAGATGCACGGATGCTATGAGTCCTGTGTGGGCAGATGCACGGATGCCATGAGTCATGTGTGAAGATGCATGAACATGATGAGTCATGTGTGGGCAGATGCATGGATGTCATGAGTCATGTGTGGGCAGGTGCATGGATGTCATGAGTCATGTTTGAAGTTGCATGGACATGATGAGTCATGTGTGGGCAGATGCATGGATGCCATGAGTCATGTGTGGGCAGATGCACGGATGCCATGAGTCATGTGTGGGCAGATGCACGGATGCCATGAGTCATGTGTGAAGATGCATGGACATGATGAGTCATGTGTGGGCAGATGCACGGATGCCATGAGTCAAGTTATCTGCCCGCCTGGGCCTCCCGAAGTGCTGGGATTGCAGGTGAGAGCGACTGCCCCTGGCCACAGTCTGTTACATTTGAAAAAATAAATGGACAAAAGAAAAAGAAAGGGAGGAATGGCACTGCCTGTTGGGCTCTGCAGGCCAAGTCCCACTCTGAGCTGCCGGGTGCCCAGACTCTTCCACCCTGAGAGCAGCCGGGGGATTCCCTTGTTCATCTCATCCCACTGGGCTCAGGGAGCCTTTTTAAAAAGGAGGTAAAGCACCTGCCAGGCGTGGGGAATGCGCAGGGGCCAGCTGGAGCACAGCAGACTCAGAATGTCCTCGGGAGCTCCCTGAGCAAGCCCCCGCCCCCGCCTCCTCTCTCCAGGCCCACACCTTGGAAGCGGTGGGAAGCACAGCCCCGCCCCCACCCACAGACAGCCGCTGTCCTTCCTTCCTGCCAGCCTGCCTTCTTCCTCTGCTCATTCAGAGATACGGGGGTCCCCAAGGCTGGTTCATCCTCCCCTCACCCTAACTCTCTGTAGTACTCAGATCTCTAAACCATTCCTGCAACATCCAGTGAGGTAGGGAAGCAACACGCGGGCTTCAAGGGCCAGGGGCTGGCTCCCCACCGTCCTGTCCTGCGCATGGACCAGGCTCAGAGCAGGGCTGGGCTGGGCACTGGGCTATGGAAGTACAGGAGTGACCAGTACCCTGGCGCCCTTATGGAGCTCAGAGGCTGCTGGAGAAGAGACAGGAAGACTGAGCCCCTCCCAGGCCACATCTCGTGTGAAGCTTAGCACTGAGAGGGCACAGAAGGTCCACCAGGAGGACTCCCAGGAGGAGCAACACAGAGCTAAGAGCGGGAGGGTAGGGAGCCAGGCTGCTTGGGCCCTTCCTGGAGGATTGGATGAATCTGTCATCTCCAAGCAAGCTCCAGGAAACAGGAGACAGGCCAGGTGCTGGCTTGATGGGGACAGTGGATGGGGTTGCCCAAGAAACACTGCGACCTGTGAGCATCCAGGAAAGTGTCCAGGCTTGGGAGGAGTCCAGGAGCCAGAAGTCACAAGGTTGCCAGTCTTTATAGTGGGACAGGTCCTTGGGGGTCATTCCAGTTACTACAACAGTGGAACAAATGACCCCATAACTCAGTGGCTTGAAAAACAACATTTATTTAGTTGGAGTTGAAATTTGGGCAAGGCTTGGGGTGGTCACCCTGCCACTGCTCCACTCAGGCTTAGCTAGGGTGGTTTCCAGGACTGGCACGTGGCTGACTGTGGCTGTGCCTGTGACCTCAGGGTGACGGGGCTTCCTCACAACATGGAGGCTGGGTACCCAGGAACGTCGGGCGAGAGAGAGAGCTGGGTGGAGTCTGTGGCACCTTCCGTGACCCAGCCTCAGCTTCACCCTGTGTCACCTCTGCCACTTTCTCTTGAGCAACGCGATGACAAAATTCAAAGAAGAAAGAAGAGACTCTCGCTGTGTGTGGGAAATGGAATGGTGATGTGGTCGTTTGGGGAAAATGTAATTTGCACAGGGATCGCTGTGTCAAGACAGGACTCTCACTACACAGGAGGCTGGAAGACGAGCAAAGTGACAGCCAGAGACGGTGAACCTTTTCCTCTTACTTCAGCAGGTGTTTAGCAGCTGTTTGGGCAGCTTGGAATGGGAACTGCTGAAGGATCCCTAAACCACAGTTAATGAGGCTGTCGTGGAGGAGGCAGCTGTGCCAGGCAGGGAGAGGGTCCTGGAGCTGTGGAGGAGGCAGCTGTGCCAGGTGGGGAGATGGTCCTGGAGCTGTGGAGGAGGCAGTGCCAGGCAGGGAGATGGTCCTGGGATCTGTGGAGGAGGCAGCTGTGCCAGGCAGGAAGATGGTCCTGGGACCCGTGGAGGAGGCAGCCACATGAGGCAGGGAGATGGTCCTGGGATCTGTG